ACAAGGATGAAGGAGTGGTCGTAATTTGTTTGAGTTTATTCAACCTCACTACCTCTCATTTGAATCTCAAATTACTCAGAATATAGATAGCAAAACTAGCATCCTTAAATTGGCCATTTCTAATGAAATGCCAATTATATTCAAAAAGTACAATTATGAGGCAATATTACTGATGTTAGAAATGGCGACACGAGACCGATAGCAACCTTTGTAGAATAAATGAAATATTACTTTAAAGTCATGTCGAATTTGGTGTTGTTGGAGAGAATGGGATTTAACGACAAATTCGAAGGACAGAATACGTGTCGAATAAGCCCCAGGAATGTACATTGAGATATTCATCAAAACAGACCTCCTGTGTGGTCCCTAGCCTTGCAAATTGTCTGTGGAATGAGGGTTTTACTGTAGGTACCTTGCATAAAGTTGTGCGTAGGAAGATGGGCACATTTAACAGCAAGTGCAGAATCAATTGCCACACTGACACAAGTTGTGAGAACAGTATTCAGAGGCTTGACCTTGACACTTCCGAATCTCAATCCTATCCATTTGCTAATGAGCTTTTACAATGGAAAGCTAAGCACAGTGAGGTTATTTGATAGAACACCCAAGAGGTAGGAATCAGGACGAAGAATGGCAGTACATTTAAACACAGGCGTCAGAAGCCGACGTCATTGAATGGTAACTGAGGTGAAAGCAAGTGAGTCATTTATTCAATGAGAAATTGCAAGTTCCTATAAATGAAAGTGCAATCGCCAGTTAATTTTCCCACAATAAAGGCACTTCATGAAGGAGCAATGCCCAATCAATATTTAGAATGCTAAATGTGTCCCCGAAGAGTTATTTATACATTAGTAAATGCGATTGCTAGAACAAATTGGAGATATATAGAGACATATATTGTGTGTGTGCGTGTGTGAGTGTATGTGGGGTTAGTTGAATTCTTCCCCATTGTGCATTAAATTTGAGTAAGCGTGCAATCCATCAAGTGCAATGATTGAGGCCTAGATGGGGCAGCATGAACACTATGAAGAGGTTAAAAATCGCAGTTTACCTTATGGGAAGACAAAAGAGACACACCTTAATTAAAAATTTCGGAAAACAATTGCTGTAATTAGGGGTGAACAGGTCAAGATGAACAAGAAGACTTCAATTCAGAGACGCGGAGCCAATATGCACTGAAATTCACGGTATGGCAAATTAGATCATTCGTCACTCGTTTGGCGAGAGGAAAAGCCACTTACCAATGGCCATATTCGACGAGAAAGGACAGATTAGTGCTACTTGGATTACTTCCATCTCTGCAATATCTCGCACGATTTAATAGCAAGTTTTTGTGCAAAAATAAATGAAAGTAGAATGAAGTGCAACGAGGAAGTTGAACATGATGGACATTTGGATCATTAGAAAAAATGATATACTACAATATCATTTGTTCAGTGTTGTCAATGTGAGATGACAGTCCTATTACATCGTGAGAATGGATTCAAATGGAAGATTAGTGAATAAAATAAAAATGGGATGATCTTCTATTTTAATATATCTGACCTTTGCCCTTTTACTCCAAAATTGGCAGAATGGTAATCTAAATCATTCAATGTCCATGAAATAATCCTTCGCCTTACCAGCCAAGAACAATGATCGCACTAGTTCGTAAGCCAACATGAGTGGTATTTTAAATCGTAGCCATTTATTATTATTCATTCTATTCTATTCTATTCTGTTCCATTCTATTCTATAAGATTTGACCCTAACACCACCCCTATATTGGCGCCCACACCATTACGACCAGTAAAGACCACGCAGATTAACGATACTCGAAGGAGTCAATGAGACACCGATTCAATGGAATTCCCCACACACATAAAGTCCAAGTTGTTGAAAAAGTAGAAAAGACACAAATACGAGTACATAGATGTTTTCAGTAGGAAGATAGTACAAGAGCACACACACACGTGCGCGCGCACTGAGAGTATTGCAATAGAGTTGTTAGTTGCTGGAACTATCACTGTTTGCATAGGAGGCATCCAAGTTGTTGGACTCCGAGTACCAATCGACACGCTCGAAGTAATTCTTGACATTCGGAGATATCTCATAGTCAGTCTCCATCACACACTCAAGCTTCTCGTCTCCCGACACCTCCTTCCTCATTGCATCGAATTCCGCCTCTCCTTCTCTATCCCATGAACTCATGTTTCCCGCTCACTCGAATGCACACAAGCGATTGATGAATGGCCATTTGCTGTGTATGCCAGTATTTATATAGACCTCGTACGCCGACATCTCGAGTTCTAATTGGTGTGGAGTGATTTCAACACTGCCTTAATGAGGGGTTTGGTATGAAATTGTGTAGTGTCTGTTGGTTACACAAGGTGACTCCTTGACCTCTAATAAATGTGAAGTAATTTCATAATTGCCTTAATGAAAGGGTGGGCATGAAATTATCCAATTATTGTGTGTAAGATCAATTAGACAAGGTATGATCTGAGGTGGCAACATAAAGATATGCGCTCGTGAGGTCATGAACTCCAAGTGCTTTAGTGCATGCTCAGCTTAATTGTCGGTAAGCATGACGACGGAAGTTTGTCAAATTTGTCATTTATATAACCGCCTTTGTAGTGGTGCCCCTAATCAGCAGTTTCTCACACAAAATCACATCCATATTTACTGTGGATCCTGTAAAGTGTCCGACTTTATTGCCTTGGGGAGCTGAGGCAACTCAAGCAGCAAGTCAACATTATTTCGCCGACGTCCTCGCGATACCGCAAGTCAATCAAATTGGTTGGTATAGTTACTAAATGTGAGGTTTTGAAAGAACTCCACGTGTCTTACCACTTTCCTGCCAACATGCACACGCCTTCCTTAATAGACATGGCATTGGGTTTATGAATCGGACTTCGCCTATACCTATTCAGCACAGACTCACTACTTAGAGCCCAAATAGTGGCTGACAACAGGATATGGAATGATTGATAGAAATAGAGCAGTTCATTCGCCTCTCCTCTTCGAATAAGCACAGAAAAACCCTGGATTAAATTTCTACCACCTCTCTAACAAAGAAACTGTTGAGAACATTTTTGAAACACTTTAGTTGCAAATTAGAGCACAATCTACTCTGATGTGTAGTGTAAATTCAATTGTCTTTAGAGATTAAATACAGATGCTGCAAGACAAATTCATTTAGGTGCCAACTCTTGTAATTTGGATTTGATGAATAAGGTGTTCACCTTACAATTCTCCATTCACTTTAGCTGAGAACATAAAGAACAATAAATAAAATGTGCACATCTCCAATCCTCTCCCTGCTTTGACTACACGCCAACTATAATTGTGGGAGCAAATATGAATGCTAGATGTCTCGGTTGTTGCAATGGTCCGCAGCCAGTCACACTTCTTAGAGCTTTACCAATACGCTTATATGAGCATGAAAATCGTGAGCACAGGAAACAACTAGTCTGCCCATGAATGATCCACATAGCGGCAACCAAATGGTCATCAGATTCATGAAGTGAGAAGGTACACTTCGCATCAATCCACTGACTCCTATGAGCTCAATAGAATAAACAATGAAATAAGCCGCAGTAATCTTCATTCAATTATTGCTATCCATTTTATATTAAACATAAGAAGAAAATGAATTTAAGACGCCGAAGAGCATATGAACAACAAGAGCAGAGAGGCAGTAAGGTGCGGGTAGAGAAAAGTGCAAAGAAAGTGGAGAATAAATCGAGAAGGCAAAAGACTAGTACCTTAGAGCACCCCATGCAAGAATTAGAAGATTTGCCGCCCATCGTGGTGGCATTCTTAGCCTCAGCTGCGCTGCCTGCACATAGGAAATTGGTGGATGGTCAACCAGTCAAGGTACTTTTCGACAAGTGAGAAAATTCCACCAGGCGGCACCCGCTTTCCCAATGGCAGCCAACGATGGTTGAAACATCACCCACCAGAATGCCACCTTTAATGTTGATGTGGAGGAGTTCAGCGACAATCTCTTTCCAAAGCACCATTAGCATATGCATCCACTCCTTCCAGTAGTCTGTCTTCATTTCAACCACACCTCTACAATGCATCACATTCATTAGACCCTGCTAACTCCTCCATCACTTCTATTACTTCTAACTAACTTATATTCATCCCGTAAAATGAGCTCATTCTACCTATGAATGAGATAGTCAGATGTAGGAGTCATTATTCAAATAATAACCGTAATAAAAATAAAATAATCATAATAATAATAATAAGACGAAGACGACGACGACGACGAAGAAGAAGAAGAAGAATAGAAAAAGGCATAAAATAACATCTTGGTCATTTCAATTATTGGCAGTGATATGCTATTATTACAGATTAAATAACGCGGGAGCGCGCGCGCACACACACACGCACGTTCGCGCTCGAGTAAATTGTCCTAATTGATGATCAATACTTCCATGGATTTTTTCGCTGTAAACAAAAAAACTGCTGCAAATTTTCACTTTCGCTAAATTTTTGCAATGGCCAACTGTGTGCCAACCGCGCATCGTTACTTTCGGCTTACTCGACGTAGGCGAGTCAGAAAAGACTCGCCTATGAGGGTAGCTGAACCTGAGAAAGCAGGAGAAGAGACCAAAAATAACGCACGCGATGAAGAGATAGGGCAAGTGAGAAATAGAATAGACCAAGTGGCTACGAATGAGAATCCAGTGGGGGAGANCCGACACCGAATACTCCTCTAGCTTGGGCGAATTTCCATCGTTCGAAAGCTTGTGCGAAGAGTATGAAGAGTCGGAGCAGGCCAAAAATAGAATAGAACAGGGGAATACTAGTGAGAAGGCAGTGCAGAAGGTAGTAGAAGATGAGCTTGAGATTGAGAGTAGAGATTATGAATATGAATACGAATACGAATATGAAGATAGCGAGTGCTCATCTAGTTTAAGGGAATTTCTCATGCTTGAAAGACTGTGCGAAGAGGCTGCACAGGCAGAGAAGAATAGGAATGTGGAAGCAGAGGAGAGGAGAGGAAGATGGAAGAAGAGAATATTGCGAGTAGAGAGGATGAAGATGAAAATGAAGAGGAGGATGAGGATAGCGAGTGCTCCTCTAGCCTGAGAGAATTCCTAATGCTCGAAAGGCTCTGTGAGGAGTATAAAGAGGCGAAGCAGAGGAGGAGGGAGAGAAGAGACCAAGAGAAGGTAGAAAGGCAATTTAAGAGGTTTAGAGGTGGCCAGTTGAGCACGATAGAAGAAGAAGAAGAAGAAGAGGAGGAGGAGGAGGAGAATGAGGAGGACAGTAGTGTGAGAGAAATAGGAGAGGAATATGAACACCCAGATGACTGCCATAGAGAAGAAGGTAGAGATGTGGCTTCCGGAGAAGGCATCCACATACAAGCGGAGAAGTTAATGTCATTAGAAGAGTTCTGTGGGGAGACTTTTACAATCTCTCCCACCTTTATCGAGGATATCACGGTGGAGAGCAGAATCTCACAGAGGAGGCTTGAACAAGCACACGAGGAGTTTTGAAAGTCTCTAAGACTTTTTCCTCGCTATAATGAGGTGGTAGGTAAGTTGGAGAAAGAGCGGAAAGGGAATAGGCAGTGTGACACACTTTCCAAGCAGAAACGTCTGCAACGGAAAGGCCTGTGCAAACCCAAGTGACCTTCCACAACTCATCTCATCTCATCTTTCGGTCTCTTCTCGGCTGTCCTCCTCTCCGTCTCCTCCTTCCCTTCATTCCAGAAAATCATTAAAAAAATGGACAAAATTTGAAAAAAATAACAAAAAATCATAAAACTACGGAAAAAGCAAAAAGCTATAAAAAAGAAAGGACGAAAAATCTCCTGTTGCATAATTATTCCTTATCCAGTTTTAGCCTTTCAATGCTAACTCTAACTTTTCCTTCCACTGCACCAACATGCACCAGAGGGTACTAGAGAATCGGATTTCAAATCCTCACAGTTGAGGGCAACTTTCATCAAAGGCATTCCAGCAATAACCATTCATTCAAAGGGCATATCTCCTCCTCCTCCTCCTCAGGTAACGCACGCATTCTCATAGGTCTTACTTATATTTATACTTATACCCTAATTTTGACAACTTTTTCCTCCCCATTTACCAGATATTCCACTAGCCCACCCTCACTAGTTATCAATTTTATTCTCACCTTTATCTTCCCCATAGCTTACGCACTAGCACTGTGTGATTAACTAGTCCCCCTCACCTCACCTCACCTCACCTCATCTCCATTTCAATTTTTTCCAGTCATTATTAGAGATATTCTCGCTATATGCTTTTGCTCCTACAGGCTCCTTCCTCTAAGCAATCTCACTCTCAACTAGCATACATTCATCCTGCTGCCACTATTATTCCCATTCCTCCACGATTCTTCCACTCCTAGGCACACTTTTTGTAGCCTATACTCTGGTAGTACGAAGCACACCCACTAGGATGGACTTAAAAGAGAAGAGACTAGAGGCTTCTAAGCGCCCTCGAATAGGCGAAGCTAGGCCACACACGCATGGCCTGGGTGTCATGGGTGGGGGATCATGGTCATAGGAGTGCAGAGGCTATAAGACCACAGCAACAAAAGGGTGCTTGCTGTGTGTGGGGGGTGGAGGTACGAGCAGGCACGAGCGTGCTTCAAGTGCGTGCCCAACTTCTTCACCTGGGCAGTGCCTGCGCCTCCTTACCCAGGAAACTCCAACCCTCACCTCCACGTGGTCCTGGGTGGTAACGTCAGCCTCCTGCATTCACGCCGCCTTCTCAATTCACTCCTACCAACAGGAGCAGGCAAGAGACCCGCGATAGTGGGCAGGAGACTGACGGCGAACGAGGGCTCTGGGCAGAATTAGCTAGTTCACCAACCAACCAACCAACCTACCGACCAAACAACCAACTAGGCAGCTTCACTTCCTCAACTCTGCTTCATGAATGCAATGTGGGAATGGAAGAGTGACAATATCCACAGTCGTACTTCACACAGTGCTTCTTGTGACCAATCCATCAAGTAACAAGTCCTTCCGACTTCTCCTCGTTTCCTCCACACACCCGCAGTGCATTCCAAAATGAAAGTTTTTGGTACAGTGAGCACTTCTTCAATAGCTTGAAATAGCAAAGTGGTCGTGATAAAATACATTTCCATGTAACATAGTTGTCGTGTATACATGTATTGAGTTGAAGTCGTCGATAAACCGCTCATTTGAGCCATCTCTGAACGCGATGCTCCTTAGTTACCTTGAGGCCTCGTTTCTCAATTAAGATAGCAGTGCACATGGATATGACTGGATGATTGATTGGCATCAAGTTGGATGTACTCAAATCGAGGCGTTTAATCGCCGCAAGTTGAGCAGATTTCTACTGTAAGGTATGCTTCATGCTTCGAACATCGGAACCATAAGGCAAGCTTGAAATCACTATTATTCTGGAGTCTCTACTAAGATGGAAATATCCCAAGTGAACGCAAATGACTTTCTTTGCAACAAATTCTCTGACCTGTCGTGATGGATGGCTTCAACGGAATGAAGGGACAATTAAAATGCAATTTTATCAATATGAAGTGGTGGGTGGTCTCAGTTTTCACAAAGTTAGTTTTCAATTGAAACGAAGTCACCGGCTCTTTCAGCTTATCTCATATAAACCTGTGTTTGTAAACAATTAAAATGTCAACTGTTAAATAATATTTCGTTCTGTATTTAACATTTGTGGGTTGTCCCATGTATATATATATATATATATATTTTATACATATATATATGTATATACACACATACATACACATATACCTATATATATTTCACGGCAATAGATTTACGGCACAGGAAAACATTAGTATTACGAGTGCATCAGCAGCAAAATTGAGGAAATCATTTGATGAAGGAGTAATTATAGATAATAACTACGGCTACTGTGTTTTGGAGTTTTTCACGGTCTTTTCAACAATTTCTTCGTTTGTTTCGTTTACTACATACAACAACGAGATTATATTTCCAAGAACGGCTCAACGCGGGCTTGGGTTCAAAATTGCATTACAACGCAGTTGTAATAGTCTACGCTACATTCCAACACGTCCATTCGTTGACATATCCTTCGATGTTTATCGTAAGAAGAGTTATTGATTCGATGTTTGAGTTCAGAAACTCAAAATAATAATGAGTCTCTAAACTCAATGATATGGACTTTCGCTCCAAAGCATATCCATTCCGGGTCTGACTTTCGCTCCAAAGCATATCCATTCCGGGTCTCAGATCACTGAAATTGCAACATTAATTGAAGTGTGTATTTTTAATGAAGGCTTTATACCGATGATGACGATTATGCGAGTGAAAATTGGTCCAGAACCGCATGCATTTGCTATCAGACGAGACAACGCCCGGATTGACCGCTCCGAGATACGAGCATCCAGCGCATCAAAGGAGGCCAGAATTGCTCGATAGAAAACAGAAACGCCGAAAATAGCATTTTCGAAGACGAGGAAGGTCTGATCTATGCAGCAGGAATGGCAAAAGGAATAAATGTAAGTCAAAAATATAATTTTATGACTTAGACTGCAAAAATTTTAATTGAAACGCGTTTTTTCTCAAAACTCGAGCACTGAAACTCTAAGATGTCACAATCAGATGAGAAGGTGTTTAACTCAGATGATCGGAATTTAAATCGAGCAAGTTATTTGTCGCTCTCACTTCAATATACCCACCTATCCAGTGTCACTGTTTCCAGCCATTACAGGATTAGATAACTATTTGAAGTGTTTGGACGGCATCCATGATAAACGTTTTCAACTTTTTGGAATAGCAATAAAGCCATTATTATCATGTCGCCTGAGAGAAATCTAGCCAGATCAAATGAGTTTGAATCATGAAACCTAGTAACTTCATGCTTCTTTGCAGAAAAAGCCATTATGTCGGAATTAAACAAGTGCCAAATATGTTCTGGGCATCGTGGACAAAAGCGCGTATTTGAGATATGAAACATAAAACCGAGAATTCTGTCCTCTTTAATAAAAGAGTACAATCAATGAGGCAAACTTTAAGACACTTTGATCAAATTTTTAGTCTCAACTCGATCTTTTCCATATCACCTTCTCTGGGGGGGCTATTTCGGCTAACCCTTGATCGGTTACTTTCCATAAGGTAAACGTTTCCGTCTTTTTCTCTGAGTAACGGTTCAGTTCTATTTAACTTCAGAAGGTGAGGCGTGATAGAATCACTGAGATAGTTATAGCTTTTAAGGTGAATATTATAACCACATACTGCGCCAGTGAAAGGTACTACTTGCGTCAAGTTCATAAAGTTATACTCTCAAAAATCCCATTAGCAATTATTAGCAAAGATACGAGATATGAGATCCTTTTCATATGAAAGTATCTTTACCAAATAACATGACAATATCAAGCTCCATGCTAACAGATAATGGACAGACATCTCTTTCCTCTTGAAAGTTGGCTTAACAACTTCTACTCCAATTTAGCTTAATGCACTGTCTTAGTATTGTGTTAGAACTGATAAATATCTCTTTTACATCATAAATAGAGGTCTATAAGATACGGTGTAGGCGAGAAGGTGCAGTAAGAAGCATTGGAGGATACCAGCGTGAGTAACAGCAACAATCTCGCCTCAATTCCCACAACTTTCTGCATTCCATCACACCGTAGAAGTTGGCCTGTGTGCACCTCGTATTCTAGCCAGTAACTATTATTCTCCCATCCCTACAACCTGGGATTCGTGCGAGTTATCTAGACTGTGTTTACTTTAGCTTCCTCAATATTCCTTTGAGAGTCGTGAGGCCCATTTCCTCACCGTTCAACATCCGACTCATTGAGCTGCATCTCCACACGCGAAAAACTCGTCCGAAACGCATGGAGGAGATGCCAAGGTGCGTAATCCCTCACCGCGCCTCAATTCTCTCTTCCCTCGAACTACCACTTGCCAATCTCGTACCTCCCACACATGCATCCTTCCTCTGTGTATAGAGGCATTCGCTCAATGCGCTCCCATAGTCATCCTCCTCTATGCCTCTCATCGGTTTCAACTACTGCCCTCCTCTCGCCATTACCTCAATCGCGTCACATCCACCAACTTATTAATAGTACCCACACCACACACAAATACTCTCATCTTTGGAGTCTCTATTTACTCAATTCATGCCACGAACAAATTTCCTCAAATCATTTCATTTTTTTCTTTCTAATCAACCTCTTCTTCTTTTTCTTGGCATTTTAATGAGTTTTTTATACTTTAAAATTAGTTATTTTGGTAGTTTATCTAGTCCCTTTGAATTGCCATTTGTGGTGCGTTCTATACTGTGATTCTGTTTAAGCTGCAACTTCATAGCATCAATCAGAATGATGCTAGTGGAGTTGGTTAATTTTCATTTTGAAAATAATTGAAGATTCTTCATTTCATCTCTTTTAATAATTGGAGATTGAAAAAAGGATGGATAGAATTCATGA